TAGAGCGTTCCATGATATTTTAAAATGAAACTTCAAATGTTCTCAATGCTCCTGTATTTCTCGAAGGTTCTTCATAATCATATACTTCAATGATACGCACTCACTGAACTCTGAATTCTGCCGTCGTGCGTCCAGACGTCATATTTATAACAAGATTTAAACCTGATTCTATTCTCCTTTTAAACAATCTTTGATCTCGTTTTACTTTTTACAATAATCATGAATACTAATGAGTTTTAATAAGAATTGATGATATATATATACATATGTATGTATTATTTCCAGGTTCGTCATAGCAGACAGTTAGCTGCCGTACTTCTTCTACTGCTAGTCTAAAAGGGATGGTACAGGTATATACAGCTACAACATATAACAATATGACCGAGAATGATAAACACTGTTTCTCATGTACTATATCATAACATTTAAACAATATACTAAGCTTATTTCCATGCTTTACCTGGCAAAATATATTAGATGTAATTAAAAATCTAACAGAGTACAAGATAAATATAAATATCTTGGAAAATAGGTAATTAAAATATCACGATTTCAAAGAACTATTTCAAAAAAGAACGTGTTATACTCGTATTTATCCCTACTTATATTATAAATGCGAAAGTAACTCTGTCTGCCTGTCTGTTACGTTTTCACGCCTAAACCACTGAACTGATTTTAATGATATGATGATTTGGTACAGAGATAGACTTAACCTTCAGAAAGAACATAGGATAGTTTTTATCCCAGACTTTTGAAAGGTTCTCTTGGAAACGCGATATAACCGAACTCCACGCGGGCGAAGCTGCGGGCGGAAAGATAGTATGAAATAATTATAACCGAAACCATTTCATCAACTTCCATATATTTCATAATCGTTTGAACCATCAGTACGTAGAATGGTGTAAGAGTGTGTGTGTGTCTATAATATTCTCTTTATATTCATCTTCTACCTGGAAATTTGCCAGCTATAGCCAGGGTCTGCCTTACATGTAGTAATAGTTTTGGCTGATAGTTTTTACGACCGGCCGCCTGCCTGACATCAACCCTCTTTGGGAATGCATTAATCAGTGATGTCTAAATACTCTTATAAAGTACATATGACTCGGAACATCACATTGGTACTTGCCAGGATCAAACCCGCACTCGCATGCATGAGAGGCGGGTCTTTAACCACTAGGACACTACTGACGTATATTAAAATATATTTTATATCATTATTAAAAGTAATTTAAGACTCACTAGTGAGAGGGTGAGTGTGACGTACACAGGCTGTGTTGTAAGTTGTAACAGTACCTACTAGGAACATAACTTATATGTATATTATAATAAGAATTATATTTTATATCTAAGACAACATTGATTCACTTGTATAAAACTCTCTGTGCGAGGTGACTGAAGCGACCTTAGCGTTTCTTACTAAACCGTTTTTTTTGGACCTGGAGTTTGTTTTACGGGTGCAAAATTTAAATTATTGGCCCGATCTAAATATTTTTTTCATAAAACCTCCACATATAACAGTTCTATTGAACATAAAAACTTCGTCTCGATCATACATTTAATTGCCAAGATCATCTCAATATAATGATCTGTTTCGCCAGTATAGTTCCGTACACTCCACTAACTTTATCCAATAAAACCCCTAGTATTATAAACTTAGTTTAGTGTAATCATTGTAGCTGCATGTTATACATAAGGAAGATTATAGGATGAGGAAGGATCATACGGATATAGAATAGGAATATATTATATGAACGACGACGCACCAGGAGAAGTAATGACAAGTTCTCTTCTTGGTAACAGTTTCGTAATTTGTTATACAATTACAGATAACAATATTTGGAGTTTATATTAATATACATAAATATATGGAATTATATATATATTAATTATATTTTTCAGTTTTGTCAATGAAGAAGGCTTCAAACATCAAATGTACGCCATGTACTCCACGCCGACATGCTACCTGCAGACGACGCACCAGGAGAAGTAATGACAAGTTCTCTTCTTGGTAACAGTTTCGTTATATGTTATAGAATTTAAAATGAACCACAGATAACAATATTTGGAGTTTATATTAATATACATAAATATATGTAATTATATATATATTAATTATATTTTTCAGTTTTGTCAATGAAGAAGGCTTCAAACATCAAATGTACGCCATGTACTCCACGCCGACATGCTACCTGCAGACGACGCACCAGGAGAAGTAATGACAAGTTCTCTTCTTGGTAACAGTTTCGTTATATGTTATAGAATTTAAAATGAACCACAGATAACAATATTTGGAGTTTATATTAATATACATAAATATATGTAATTATATATATATTAATTATATTTTTCAGTTTTGTCAATGAAGAAGGCTTCAAACATCAAATGTACGCCATGTACTCCACGCCGACATGCTACCTGCAGACGACGCACCAGGAGAAGTAATGACAAGTTCTCTTCTTGGTACAGTTTCGTTATATGTTATAGAATTTAAAATGAACCACAGATAACAATATTTGGAGTTTATATTAATATACATAAATATATGTAATTATATATATATTAATTATATTTTTCAGTTTTGTCAATGAAGAAGGCTTCAAACATCAAATGTACGCCATGTACTCCACGCCGACATGCTACCTGCAGACGACGCACCAGGAGAAGTAATGACAAGTTCTCTTCTTGGTAACAGTTTCGTTATATGTTATAGAATTTAAAATGAACCACAGATAACAATATTTGGAGTTTATATTAATATACATAAATATATGTAATTATATATATATTAATTATATTTTTCAGTTTTGTCAATGAAGAAGGCTTCAAACATCAAATGTACGCCATGTACTCCACGCCGACATGCTACCTGCAGACGACGCACCAGGAGAAGTAATGACAAGTTCTCTTCTTGGTAACAGTTTCGTTATATGTTATACAATTTAAAATGAACCACAGATAACAATATTTGGAGTTTATATTAATATACATAAATATATGTAATTATATATATATTAATTATATTTTTCAGTTTTGTCAATGAAGAAGGCTTCAAACATCAAATGTACGCCATGTACTCCACGCCGACATGCTACCTGCAGACGACGCACCAGGAGAAGTAATGACAAGTTCTCTTCTTGGTAACAGTTTCGTTATATGTTATACAATTTAAAATGAACCACAGATAACAATATTTGGAGTTTATATTAATATACATAAATATATGTAATTATATATATATTAATTATATTTTTCAGTTTTGTCAATGAAGAAGGCTTCAAACATCAAATGTACGCCATGTACTCCACGCCGACATGCTACCTGCAGACGACGCACCAGGAGAAGTAATGACAAGTTCTCTTCTTGGTAACAGTTTCGTTATATGTTATAGAATTTAAAATGAACCACAGATAACAATATTTGGAGTTTATATTAATATACATAAATATATGTAATTATATATATATTAATTATATTTTTCAGTTTTGTCAATGAAGAAGGCTTCAAACATCAAATGTACGCCATGTACTCCACGCCGACATGCTACCTGCAGACGACGCACCAGGAGAAGTAATGACAAGTTCTCTTCTTGGTAACAGTTTCGTTATATGTTATAGAATTTAAAATAAACCACAGATAACAATATTTGGAGTTTATATTAATATACATAAATATATGTAATTATATATATATTAATTATATTTTTCAGTTTTGTCAATGAAGAAGGCTTCAAACATCAAATGTACGCCATGTACTCCACGCCGACATGCTACCTGCAGACGACGCACCAGGAGAAGTAATGACAAGTTCTCTTCTTGGTAACAGTTTCGTTATATGTTATAGAATTTAAAATAAACCACAGATAACAATATTTGGAGTTTATATTAATATACATAAATATATGTAATTATATATATATTAATTATATTTTTCAGTTTTGTCAATGAAGAAGGCTTCAAACATCAAATGTACGCCATGTACTCCACGCCGACATGCTACCTGCAGACGACGCACCAGGAGAAGTAATGACAAGTTCTCTTCTTGGTAACAGTTTCGTTATATGTTATAGAATTTAAAATAAACCACAGATAACAATATTTGGAGTTTATATTAATATACATAAATATATGTAATTATATATATATTAATTATATTTTTCAGTTTTGTCAATGAAGAAGGCTTCAAACATCAAATGTACGCCATGTACTCCACGCCGACATGCTACCTGCAGACGACGCACCAGGAGAAGTAATGACAAGTTCTCTTCTTGGTAACAGTTTCGTTATATGTTATAGAATTTAAAATGAACCACAGATAACAATATTTGGAGTTTATATTAATATACATAAATATATGTAATTATATATATATTAATTATATTTTTCAGTTTTGTCAATGAAGAAGGCTTCAAACATCAAATGTACGCCATGTACTCCACGCCGACATGCTACCTGCAGACGACGCACCAGGAGAAGTAATGACAAGTTCTCTTCTTGGTAACAGTTTCGTTATATGTTATAGAATTTAAAATGAACCACAGATAACAACTCGCTTTGATATGTTTATCGAGGCTTGTCGAGCGCTTTATTTTATCGATATAAAAATTGGCAACATCAGTTAAATAATATATTTCATTCATTTGTCATTCATAGATGTTGCCAGCTCTCTCTTTTTTTAAATTTTTATGTATAGCAATTTAATTAACTATATGTTATTAGCAGTGACATTGTCAGTGAAATTAAGTATACGCGCGGCGCGATCCTTTCTGTTTGTGTTATAACTACTCGTAAGTACCATGACGGAGCCTCCAAAGTAAGTTCATAAATGCGTCTCGGATACGTGCGTTGTATGCGTTGCCTGCTATATAGGTTTTTTGACATAACAAATGTTACAGAAAGAAAGTACGCTGTACTTTTGGGCAGAAACAGCGGCTCATAGAGCTGATGGAGTGCCATAAAGAGGTGGCATTGGGCATCTTTACATGTCCAATGGGATTCTAAAAAATGGAATCCATTTGGAAAACCATTGCTGCGGAGTTGGCGGAACTGGGTCCAGCAAAATCAGTTGAACAATGGAAAACGGTAAGTTTGTTTTCTGTGATTTAATGATTATTGACTTCTTATAAAATTAAACTTAAATATTTTGTTCTTGTATCAGGGACTAGCTGACCCGATAGATATTATCAGTACTTTTCTTTCATAAGAACCTTCTCCTGATGATAACAAACAACAAAAAAGAATTAGTGAAATCGGGATTGATTTTTATATTTGTATAAGATTGGTTATTGTTTATATTTTCAGACATGGCGTGATCTGAAATCGAAAACAAAACTAAAAATGCCAATATTAACTGTGCCAGAAAAAGAACTGGAAACAATGAAAATGTTCCGGTTCTAACAACTGGGGAAGAAAAGATTTTAGGGATCACTGGGAAGATAACATCTCGGGGTCTAGATGTTCCAGAGACAATAACAAACAAGACCACTGTTAGAGACGTCACCAATACATCAATTGCTCGCACAGCAGTACCTACCACATCACTCATCACCACCACCTACACAATCAACATCACGAACTCGGTCTTCCCGTAAAAGATCAGCCAAAGATCTGGGACAAATCTATGAGGCCTGCTCGGGTTCTAGTACTGCTGCTCTCACAGTTAGTTTTATTTATTTTACTAGCTTCTGCCCGCGGTTCCGCCCGCGTGGTAAGTTCTTTTTCTGGGACAAAAAGTATTCTGTCTTTCCTCGGACTGTCCTGATATATATATTCCAAATTTCGTCGAAATCGGTTCAGTAGTTGAGGCATCAAGAAGTAAGAATCAAACAAATAAACAAACAGACACTCTTGCAGATTTATAATATTAGTAGGCCATCTGTAGTTTACTGACTCACCCCATTAAGGCCATTTTAAAACTTGAGTTTTTAGGCTATAGCAAAACATCTGGAGAGCCGTAATGCTATAGAAGAAAAGCGGAACCTAATAGAGTCAGAGCGTAACATTATATTAAAAGAGAGAAATAGACTTCTTGAGTCGTAAGGATTAAGCCAATATTTAATATTGTGAAAGTAGCTGTAAAGTAAAAGTAGAACATATTTTAGAGGTAGATGTAGTATTAGAAAGTAAACAATTATTGTATTAGAACTCAGATCTAATTTTGAACTTTTAATAACTTAATTAATTAATCAACATTATTATATCTTGCTGCCGACGCAAAGCTGCTGATGAACTGGTAGCAGTATGTGTAGGTATAGTGTGGTCAGTAAGTTCCTCTGTAGATGTTTCTGGCTCTGGTAATGGGTATCTGAAATTGAATAATAAAAATATTAGAGATGCAATAAGTGATACTTAATTATTATTTTACAGTATCAAATCTTATGATCTTAACCTATATTGATGCATCATATTATATATGGTACAGCAAGATAATATAATGAGTGCTGCAGCTTGTGGTTGATAATGCAGCACTCTATCCTTCCTGAGGCATCTGAAGATGGCTTTTATTATTCCATTTGTTCGCTCCACGCAGTTCCTTATTCGTGAGATTTTTACATTGTATCTGTACTCGGTGGAACCTTCAGGTGGACTTGGCACAATTGGTGTCAACATGTATGACTGTTTAGAGTACCCAGAATCACCTGAAAATTGACAAATGATTAAATATTATATACAATCACCAAAGAAAAATTATTTAAATTACTTTATTAAATTGTTAATCTTTCTATTTCAAGGTTGCTGATGCAGTCCGGTGGAGCCAATTTTTTCTTAGGCGCAGAAGAAGTTTTGGAAGAAGTTTAGTTTTACAATATGAACCTATATTTTATTAAATTATAAGAATATTTTAAAAACGCATTAATGTTTGATTATGTTATCCATATCCATACTAATATTATAAAGAAGAAAGATTTGATTGTTTGTTTGTTTGTAACGAATAGGCTCCGGAGCTACTGAACCAATTTGAATTACCAATTAAATAGTATTTTCCAATTCTACCATCTACCAGTCTCATCATTTCATCTTTGGTTAAAAATGTGTTGGTCGTGAGTTGACCCTGGGAATCTTGCATTTACATTAAGTAATCTACAATTTGAGTCACACACCTGAAACAATTTTTTAATACTTAGGTAGGTAAAAATTAATATCACACAGATGTAAAGAAAAAATATTTGTAGTCATGTTGAGAAATAAATTAAGTACTTAGGTACACTTACAAATTGAGTGTTAATAGAATAATTTCCTTTTCGGTTTTTGTACCCTATAGGTGGATCATTAGCATCATTGTTATGGGGTGTGACAATAGCTATGTGTGTGCAGTCAATACACCCCAAACAATCTGGCAAGCCATGTGCAGCCTGAAACCCGCTAGCGACAGCCCTCCTTTCCTCAGCTGTGCTAGGGAATTTAATGTAAACATTGAGGAGTCTGTGCACAATGGCATACGACACCTCCTTAACGACCTTACTGACCGTTCGTTGTGCCAATACAATATTATAATCTTGGCCAACAAACCGTTGGTAGCTACCAACGGCATAAAAACGCACTGCAGCCAAAATCTGAAACAATTTATTTCGCGTACTATAGTATAACTCATTACATAGTTGATATTGAAGATTGAAGAATTACTTACTACAATATGTACTGGCAGTCCATGAGACCGGCTCCTTCTTATATCGCCCTCAAGAGAGCGTGTTAAAGTTAAGGCGATTTCCTTATTTACTCTAATGTAAATTCGGAATTCTTCATCTCCTAAATCGAAGGGGTTACTTCGATCTCGAGATTCCGCCGATGAATTCTTCGTTCATCGCGGACTCTTCTGGCGGCCTCTGTCTCCAAAACAATAATATCCCCAAAGTCCATTTAACAGGTTTTCCTTGAAATTCACTTCCTTTTTATATCGAATTTCTTTATCGACCAACTTTAAAGTGTAGACAAGTTTAACGAAAATATATCAATGACAACTGTCAAAAATAAGAACCATGCTGACATTGTAATTTAAAATTGACAAAATTCGATAAACTATGTCGATCTTATCGAGGTGTAGACATAACTCGACAAAATTGAGATCCATGCTACCAATGTTGTTATATCTACATCTAATGTCAAAAACGTCGATAAATGCCTCGATAAGAGTCGACATAAAGAACCGTGCTCGCACTACAGTTTCGTTATATGTTATACAATTTAAAATGAACCACAGATAACAATATTTGGAGTTTATATTAATATACATAAATATATGTAATTATATATATATTAATTATATTTTTCAGTTTTGTCAATGAAGAAGGCTTCAAACATCAAATGTACGCCATGTACTCCACGCCGACATGCTACCTGCAGACGACGCACCAGGAGAAGTAATGACAAGTTCTCTTCTTGGTAACAGTTTCGTTATATGTTATACAATTTAAAATGAACCACAGATAACAATATTTGGAGTTTATATTAATATACATAAATATATGTAATTATATATATATATATATTAATTATATTTTTCAGTTTTGTCAATGAAGAAGGCTTCAAACATCAAATGTACGCCATGTACTCCACGCCGACATGCTGCCTGCAGACGACGCACCAGGAGAAGTAATGACAAGTTCTCTTCTTGGTAACAGTTTTGTTATATGTTATACAATTACAGATAACAATATTTTGAGTTTATATTAATATACATAAATATATGTAATTATATATATATTAATTATATTTTTCAGTTTTGTCAATGAAGAAGGCTTCAAACATCAAATGTACGCCATGTACTCCACGCCGACATGCTACCTGCAGACGACGCACCAGGAGAAGTAATGACAAGTTCTCTTCTTGGTAACAGTTTCGTTATATGTTATACAATTACAGATAACAATATTTGGAGTTTATATTAATATACATAAATATATGTAATTATATATATATTAATTATATTTTTCAGTTTTGTCAATGAAGAAGGCTTCAAACATCAAATGTACGCCATGTACTCCACGCCGACATGCTACCTGCAGACGACGCACCAGGAGAAGTAATGACAAGTTCTCTTCTTGGTAACAGTTTCGTTATATGTTATACAATTTAAAATGAACCACAGATAACAATATTTGGAGTTTATATTAATATACATAAATATATGTAATTATATACAGGGTGACTGGTGAATTACTATCAATATTTAAGGAGCATACTCGGTACATGATTCTCATTCGAATTATGTAAAAAAAATAGGTACTTAATTTTTGACCAAATTTCCGTATAAATAAATAAAGTGTGGACACGTTCCAAGTGTGGACGCGTGCTGATACAACAACACGCCGCCGCGCGCGAGTGTGTGTGTGTGTGTGTGTATACCTAATCTGTAGGGTGTTCATACGATGCGTAATTAATTACATAACTTTTGGTTAACTTTACTTAGAAGTTTATTAATGTTTATGTTATATTAATTTTTATTTTGTCATATATGATCGTCAAATATCACGTCCTCAAATATCGATAGTAATCCACCAGTCACCCTGTATATTAATTATATTTTTCAGTTTTGTCAATGAAGAAGGCTTCAAACATCAAATGTACGCCATGTACTCCACGCCGACATGCTACCTGCAGACGACGCACCAGGAGAAGTAATGACAAGTTCTCTTCTTGGTAACAGTTTCGTTATATGTTATACAATTACAGATAACAATATTTGGAGTTTATATTAATATACATAAATATATGTAATTATATATATATTAATTATATTTTTCAGTTTTGTCAATGAAGAAGGCTTCAAACATCAAATGTACGCCATGTACTCCACGCCGACATGCTACCTGCAGACGACGCACCAGGAGAAGTAATGACAAGTTCTCTTCTTGGTAACAGTTTCGTTATATGTTATACAATTACAGATAACAATATTTGGAGTTTATATTAATATACATAAATATATGTAATTATATATATATATATTAATTATATTTTTCAGTTTTGTCAATGAAGAAGGCTTCAAACATCAAATGTACGCCATGTACTCCACGCCCACATGCTACCTGCAGACGACGCACCAGGAGAAGTAATGACAAGTTCTCTTCTTGGTAACAGTTTCGTTATATGTTATAGAATTTAAAATGAACCACAGATAACAATATTTGGAGTTTATATTAATATACATAAATATATGTAATTATATATATATTAATTATATTTTTCAGTTTTGTCAATGAAGAAGGCTTCAAACATCAAATGTACGCCATGTACTCCACGCCGACATGCTACCTGCAGACGACGCACCAGGAGAAGTAATGACAAGTTCTCTTCTTGGTAACAGTTTCGTTATATGTTATAGAATTTAAAATGAACCACAGATAACAATATTTGGAGTTTATATTAATATACATAAATATATGTAATTATATATATATTAATTATATTTTTCAGTTTTGTCAATGAAGAAGGCTTCAAACATCAAATGTACGCCATGTACTCCACGCCGACATGCTACCTGCAGACGACGCACCAGGAGAAGTAATGACAAGTTCTCTTCTTGGTAACAGTTTCGTTATATGTTATACAATTTAAAATGAACCACAGATAACAATATTTGGAGTTTATATTAATATACATAAATATATGTAATTATATATATATTAATTATGTTTTTCAGTTTTGTCAATGAAGAAGGCTTCAAACATCAAATGTACGCCATGTACTCCACGCCGACATGCTACCTGCAGACGACGCACCAGGAGAAGTAATGACAAGTTCTCTTCTTGGTAACAGTTTCGTTATATGTTATACAATTTAAAATGAACCACAGATAACAACTCGCTTTGATATGTTTATCGAGGCTTGTCGAGCGCTTTATTTTATCGATATAAAAATTGGCAACATCAGTTAAATAATATATTTCCTTCATTTGTCATCATAGATGTTGCCAGCTCTCTCTTTTTTTAAATTTTTATGTATAGCAATTTAATTAACTATATGTTATTAGCAGTGACATTGTCAGTGAAATTAAGTATACGCGCGGCGCGATCCTTTCTGTTTGTGTTATAACTACTCGT